TAATGTCGTTGTTATCTTGTATATTAGCTGATAAAAAGAAATTATGTATTATAAATATTAGCTGAGAAGAAGAAATTATGCTGTACGGGTACTTTTTTACATTTATTTAAACTGAAAAAGAAAATTTTTTTGCGCGTTGAAAAAAATTAACCCACATGTCCACTGTGAAATCATGATATCGCCTTCCAATAGAATGTAAGATGAAGTATCGAAAGTAATTATTGTTTTGACATGTTTCCGCAAACATTCCTTTTTTTAAATAACACTTTCTAGCACATAGGATCCCGAAACCGATCACATGAACGAAATGAACGGTCGCCTTTACAAAAAACTGCCCTTAAACTATTTGTTGTGGTTTCCACAAAAAGACAAAAAATTTAACATCAAAAACCAGTCAGCATTGGTCGGTGCTTTTCGACTCCAGTGGCCTTGTACAAAAAACGATGTGTTAAGGAATGTAAAGAGCCATTTAATTATCCTAATATATTGTTATGGTCGCAGAGGGAGGCGGTTATAAATTAACGGCGCGACCGGCCCTGTCAGAGGTGGCGAATGGTGCCGGCAAATGGAAACGCTCATTTGTCTAATGTATTTCAATATCAACCATTTAATATCATTATAGACGACATACGATATATATCTAAATACAATAACTTACAAATAGATAACAACATGAAACTTCCATGTGGAAGCGATCCGCCCTGCGGCATTGTATTCTCACATTACCGTACCCTCTGTTTCAGTGCGATGATCCTCAGCTTTTTATTTCATTTTTACATCAATTCCGACAGACGGCCTTCATTATGCGTCCGCAAGTGCTGCGGTCGCCACCGGTTCAGGTAGCTCGGCGTTTCGCTTCAAAAGTTGACCTTAGGTATTCGATTCGCTTGTTAACTTTTTGTTAATCTATACAAGCTTTTGATGTGCTGTAATTTGATAATCCACGACAATGATTTTACGTAAATCGAGTTCGTGTGATAAAAACTCGTTTAATGGACGATGTTAATTGGATACATACGGTTGCATACCGAGCTTATATTAGGATATGTAGGCATCATTGGGACAAGGCGAGGTGTCGGAGGCAGGGCGTCCTGCTGCGCCCGAGCATTGTGATCGACAGCTTGTTTACTAAAAATATGCATAATGAATTTATAATAGCCCGTCTGGTCCGTCGCGTCACTCTACTCCGATCACTCGTGAGTTGAACTTTAAATAGACAATTATCAATAGAGTCATATTAAACTAAGCAGTTAAAGTTATCTTTGAATGTGAAGAAAATAAATTATGTATTTACATTATTATTACATATTACATTGTAATGTAGTTCGGTATATTAACTGAACTTTAAAACAAGTTCCAATGTCCTTCTCCAAAGCAAAGCAAAGCTTATATATATGACTTTTTAAGAGGCCAGTCTCTCCCCCACCCTGGAAAATAATCTTAAATACGCGAATGCATCTCAAACTCCACGTCGATGCTAATTTTTATTACATACTTTACCCAATCTATCCGATAAGGCGCTATGAGGTAACAATCAAATTAAACAAACTTACTTTCACTTTTATAATAGGTACATATTAAACGGAAAGATAAATATGATATAAATACCTGCCTACATTCATAACCATCAGGGACCTTTGTTATCTACTAATAGTGTTAAAATTTTTGGTACCTCGTTCAGGTATAGAGAGTAGGTTACACTCTTTTTTCTTTTTCAACCAGAAGGTACAATTTCTTGAGTTGTATTTCAGACAGAAGATAGGTAAAGAGTTTAGATTATTTAGATAGAGTGTGTCCATACAAATGCTTCGAGAAAAGCGGATTAACTTTTTAATACAATTGTGCGTGATAAATAGTCATGGGCGATTCCTTTATAACTTCTATATTTATTTTGCTTATTAATTCTGCACCTTTTTAATGTACAAAAACTAATTTTATTTATTAAATAATTAAATATAGATACATCAAGATACATTGTGTGTATTAAACAAAACGAGTTAGCTAATTTGATAATTATCTGACAATAAGATGACCCGTTTTTAAGACTCGATGATCTATCTATATATCCTAAGGTAAAGAGGAATAATATTTTTAAGGGTAGCAACGTTTTAAGGTTTCCAATGATGGTTGTGTTCCATGTTCATATTATCGCCATCGTATTTGGACGAGGTTTATCACTTTTTAATAGTTATCAGCGTTTGTGCAAAAGTGGTAAAAAAAAGTACTACTGGACATAACAACATGTACAACGCCATCTAGTTCGCAACTAATCAGAACTTGTACTATAGGTACTAGATAATTGACTAAAACACTTATATACTGGGGGGGGGGGGAAGGGATTGTTAGTAATGGGGTCTAATAGCCCCATTACTGGCAATATACCCCTCTCAGGTTGACCTCCAAGCGGTTCCTTCTGGAAACCAACATGTTTAATTTTTGTCGAATTCATCATGGTGGGCCAACTAACCTGCATTCATTCTCACCTGTCATTTTCCACTGGTGCCTTGTCGGTGTATACCAATAGCGTAGGCGGGATTACCAATCCATTTTCACCCATTAAAAAAACACTTATATACTACCTTATATTTTTTTGTAAATACTTACATATTATACATACAAAATGTCCAGAACTAAAATGAAACACGCGAAGATAAAGCAAACTATGTAAATGGAAATGTAGTATCGCAGAAATGTGCATATAATTATATCTCCCGCAACTATTAACAGAGATTTGTTACGCAGACTTACACCGATTGTTTAGACTACTAGGTATTCTGTTATTTTTAAACTCAGCGCGATTGTATAAATTGGAAATCTTTGCATGTTATCTTACCTAAATTAACGAGTGGATCCGGGTATGCCCAAGCAAATTACATGGTTTTTCTAAATAATAAGTAAATTTTAATATACTACTTTAGACTTCAACTCTACATGATACATGTTAGGATTTTTTTATGTTCCTATTATTGTAATACTGATTGTTTAAATACGGGTAAAATAGTTTAAATTATAATTTTATATAGTTATTAGAAGTTTTTATTTATTACAGTAAAAAAAAATATTTAAGTACCTACTCAAGATCTTGAAACTGGATTGCATTCTAAATTACAAGTCGAAAATAATTCTGTGCAGTTTATTTACCTTTTAAATTTGATAAACCAATAATTGATAGGATCATCTAATTAAATTACGAGTATGTGAGTTTTTGTTCAATAGTAGGATACAAATAGGTACTTTACATTTAAAGAAAACATATTGTAAAACTTGTTACGAAAGCAAGAATCCCAGTGTTATGATGGGTGCGAGGTGCCTAATTGCGGTGCCGAAGTGTTCCCACGTTTAAGTGCACGAAATGTTTGAGCTTGCATTTAGCATTCGATTGTTTTAGTGCGGACCGAGACGTCTGCGGGGAACAAACATGGGCTTCCTGACTTCGGCATTTCGGACATCAAGCCTTCCTTCATACAGAATACAACTGTGTCAATTATACAAAAATAAAGTACAATGTAAGCACTATGTAGTTATTAGTAATGCAATAATCTGGAGATATATGTAGATAGTTGAATTTACGTATGCTTATGTATTTATGCTCGTTTTTTAGTACCTACTGGATTAGAATAATTATATGCGATCACTTTAGAAATGAGTGCAACTCTCAGTTAATGAATCTGCTAGTGTAACAAGTTAAAACTATTATGGTAGTGATAGCTTTTCGGCAATTTTGTTTGGAATAGCAAACAAACTGACGGCCTTCTAATGACATAGACAGTACCACAGATAATATTATATCTGCAGTAATCATTGTCTACTGACAGTAAATAAACAAATTATTATTATCGCAGGTAAGGAATATATTGTGATACTACGATACATGCATGAAGCATTGCCACTCTTGTTGAATAAGGTGTTTTGATGTACTGTACCTGCCGTCGTAATTTATAATTTCACTACCGTATCTCTTGTTTCAAATTAAAGTACAGTCATCCAAGTATTGCTGCTTGTTCGTTAAGTTACAGTTTCATATCTAATGAATCGCAGTCCAGTCAACGTATGTGTATGAATACTCGCACGGATTTTTTTAAATGTTAGATAGTAATGCGGTATTTTTATTCTTCATGTAGTTTTGTTAAAAAAATTATAATAAAATAATGCGATATGCGTATACATTTATGTTAGCTAACATGTGAAGAATATAAAGTTACCGAGATCTACTATTATATATGGTAGACTAAGAGAAATCTAACACAATAAGTGTTGAGCTAACAATGCGTATGAAGAGGAAAATTGGATCTCGTAAAGAGATACCGTAAAAAATCAGGAATCACCGAAGGAACAAACAAACATGTATTTCTCGCAACTCTTTATTAGGTGGTTGGAATGTTCGTAGAAATAATTATGTACGGTGCTCCAAAGTATCTGTCGCGTGAATACATCGCCGCGTCGCCCAAGCGGGGCGCCCGGTCGCCTCGATTCGTTACGTCAATCTTTAAATTTTTTCACTACGAAATCTGCATAGAGTGAGTTGACATCGTGCGACAAAGCCGACACGCGGCGCGCTTCACATTGTCCACGTTTCTTTATAAATATTTTGACATTCCCTTTATTTGCACCGCGACGATTCACAAACGAAACTGTGTCGATCCCTTCATGCGGCGTGTTTTAATTTGATTTATTCCTTCATAACAAATGCCCAACATCCTGTGTTGTCTGACCAGTCGCAGAGCGGCGGCGTTTGTCAATTTGTTAGCACATCTATTGGTATTTCTCTTGCTAGGTGCAAACAAAAAGCTCAGAATATCTTTAAAGCTTTGATATTATTTCTTAAAGAACCGTTTGGAGTGCACAGTCTATTTATATTTTAAATAGTTACCGTGAAACACGATGCAAATATTTAGATAAAGGGTTTTTAATTTATTAAAAAAAATTATATATTTTTTTTAACTGTATATTCATTACAATTCATGCTCAAAAATACAATACAAATTTAATATAATTTTCAGAGATGCAAAGAGAAACTGAATACTCTTGCGATCAGCGTAATGAACCAATGGCCGGGTGTGCGGCTGCGAGTCATCGAAGGCTGGGATGAAGAGGACTCACACGGAGAGGACTCGCTGCACTATGAGGGCAGGGCAGTAGACGTAACCACTAGCGACAAAGACAAGAGCAAGCTCGGCATGCTGGCATGGCTGGCTCGCCAAGCGGGCTTCGACTGGGTTTACAATCACGGCCGGTCTTATGTGCACTGCTCAGTCAAAACAGGTACCTACATTTATGTTACTCCTGTGATTAAAATAAAATATGTAGTGTTTCCCATATTTATTCTGGTAGGAGTTTTTGTTATAAGCTCTTAACAATCAATCAACATTATATATGTATTATAAGTTTTTTTATTTGTAGATAGTAAAATATACCTACGTTTATAATACATAGTGTATTTTTAGGTGAAAACACGGCGTTGACTGAGAACAGAAGAAGTGTTGTTAACGTGTCTGTTTTGTATGATGATGAAAAACATTTTTATGATAAATATTTAACTATATTTTTATTTTGTATATTATTTATATATTTGTATATGTATATATCATTATAACACATTATCCAGGTCTCTTCAATTTATCTATAAAACCGAGAACTTATAAACCTTCTGAATATCTTTAGAAACAGGTGTCCATAAACAGCCTGTATTAAACGAGAACTAGTCTTGTATGCCGTGCTTACAGTATGATAATACGCGTGAAGCTATTTTGCGTCAACAAGCTTACATATATTCATATTTGCATATTACTATAATCATATTTAAATTTGTCGTGGGAAATGGTGCTTAGCGCGTTTAAGTCTTTTGTATGGTAGCGTTGGCAGTACATTAGATTAAACAAAAATTTAAAAGTTAAATTACCCACGCTTTAAGCATCAAAATTGCATTTTGCTAAAATATTGGTATTGAAATTCTTGTCTATTTTATTCGAGATAAACACAATTCACAGTTAATAATGTACTCTTTTTCGAAGTAGGTATATAAAAGAAAAATATCTATTTACCTACTTTTCTTATTGGGTTCTCTAGAACAACAATGTTTAGATTTTTTCACTTACTTCAATAATACTTATTGATCTATTTTTTAACTATACTAACTAAATTAGTAAGCACTAATCTGTTGTTAATGGTTTGGTTTTTGCATTTAACATTACTATTACTACTCGAAATCTCTATCTTAACTTCTAGAATAGAGGACAAGAATACTTACAGGGCATCTTTTAGGTCAGTAGATTATAAAAGCATCTACTTGGCTAGATACATAAGCCTTTTTATTAAAAAAATAACAGTATTATAGATTAAACAGAGTATATTTAGGACCATTTGAAAACAGTTAAATTTGGGAATATGAAATACCCATGCGATTATTATCACCTTACGAGTACATAACTGTACAACGTGGTCTACGGGATGGGCCAAATATATAGTTGAACTTTAACGAGAAGAATGCATCTCAGACAACTTCCCGCGCCCGCGCCCCGGCGGTGTCGATCAAACGGACGAACAAGCCTCTTGTTAGCATCCCTCCTTGTCTCACCCACGCCTTTTATTGCCTCTGTCCCTTGTGCACACGGCCGCATCGCAGCCAATCCCCCACTTCTATAATTACGCCGGTGATTCAATGGCTACTTATATCTGTATATGTGTATACAGCATAACGATGAGAGAAGCGAGTATTTATATGTATGTGTGTGTTTTAGATATTATAATGGAGGCATTCCGGGGCGCTCGCATAGCTCCAATTAATTTTGCAGATGAGCCTTCAGAGTAGAAACGGTTTATGAAAGCGAAACTTTGTTACAACTAATAAACATAAGTTGTTGGCTTGACATCTTTAATGGACTATGTTTATTAATTTAATTTATAGTATGAGCTAGTCAGGTTGAATACCTTTTAAAGGATGTATTCTGTTCGTAGTTACTTTTTGTTATGGAATAGTTTAAATTACAAATGCACTATGAAAAATGGATAGATAGATACTTAGATACTATAATTTATGGATAAATATTATCTATTCTTAATTCTTTGTAACCATTTTTATCCTCAATTAATAACTTACTTTACATCATAGTGTTACTTTTATTAGTACATTACAGTATAGCTGTAAACTCTTAGACTATTCTTCATTATACTAATATTATAAATATTATTTATGAGGGTGGATATTTGTCACTTTTTCACGGCAAAACTACTAAACCAATTTGAATTAAGTTTGGTACACCTATAGATTATATAGTAACCTATCACGTAGTATACTTAATGTACTAGTTCACGCGAATAAACCCGAGGGATTTAATTAATATATCCTATATAACTTACCTTTTATACCATAACATCTCATTAAAATCTTATTGCTAGGCATGAGTCTTCTTCATAAGAAAAGGATTCTACCAATGATCCTAATAGAACATTCTATATATGAACGTGAAATAGAACAAAAAGTGTATTACATGTTAAGGATATATATATAGTTCAAGCTTTTGAAGCAAATTTCATAAAAAAAAAATTATATCATTTAAGTGTGATCTTAATATATTAGTAGGTACACACATATTTTTCCATGAACACTATAATACTGATAATTCTTATTTCTTTTAAAGATAGTCAAATGTCATCATATAAATCTAGGCTTATTGTGAATGTTTGCATCAAATCAACAGAAGCACTCATTGTTGTAAGGACTCGAGACGGCAATGTCACCTCGCGATCGGTCGCAGTCAATTTACCGCGATGTTTATTCATTTATTCCGGTGTTTTGTACAACGATCACTACGGTATTAATTTGGAGTTTATGAATATTTAATGTTCTCGTGTAGGTATGTAGCGGTCGTGGCTCTTTGTTGGTCATGCGCCGGTCAAGGTCGGGGCACGCACGAACTCCCTGCGCTCGCGCACTCTCTCCCAACTTACGAAATTGTGCCGGCAATTTGCTAAACTGTCTTTTCAGAGTGCATCTGATGATACTTGTTAAAAAGAAAGAAAAGAGTATAATAGTAAAAAATTAATGCCCAACCGATTTCGAAAAGAAAAAGGTTTACATTTTGACTATTTTTTCAATATTACAGAATGTCTTGCATATTCTGAATATATTTTGAAGATTTTTTAGTTATTATAGAATTATTCTGGCATTAATCCTATATATACAAGATTAAAGTAGTTTTTTTTTAAAGTAAAAAGCTTTGTAAATATTTTGTAAATGAGTAAAGATTTACTCATATTTTCGACTATTCTTTAAAATAAAGGGCTCCTTACATTAAACATAAGTATACATATATGTACTTAGGTATATATATATATATATATATATATATATATATATATATATATATATATATATATATATATATATATATATATATATATATTATATATATTATATTATTTATAGCATTGAAAATTATAAATAAACATGCACACCTAAAAACAATATTAGAAATGAAATTTCACAGTTAAGAATGAAGTGAATCGTAAATTCTAAATTTCTATAATTTGTAAACCAAAACTTTACTGAATTCAGAGTTATAATTTCAAAGGGCTACTTTAAATAATTATATTGTAATTAAATAAAAATCTATATTCCATTTATTTATTTTTAGTATTTTTGTACAATCGTTAGTTACATTATGATTAAACTTGATTTAAAAAAGAAATTAAATTAATAAGAAAACATATTTAAAGATGATATCTACTATAATCTAAACAGTAGCTCATTGATAATTGCATTGAGCCTCGACAAGATGTGCGAGTTCAATCACTGCTCGTTTCGATTTTATTATCTATAAAAAAAAACAATAAAAATAATTCATTCCTTTTTAAATAATATTACTTTTCTTCAAAGTCAAAAAACTTTTATTCTGACTATGCCAGTAGTCGAGATCTTATTTTCGTTAACTTGAATAGATTTTATCAGTAATAAAGTTTAGTTATCCTTAGAACTTCTTAAGAGTGTACTAAGCACAATATATAAGTACAATAAGAAATAAATTCGAAATAAAATCCCATACTGAGTGGCCTGACTAGCATAGCCTAAATTTTATTTTTTTCTTATGAGAGAGACATCTGTGCACTGAGCATAGGTCTTTCCATCGATAATCCACTGATCTTCGATAGTTTGTATTATACAATATTTGTGTATAATACGATATTTCAATATATTCATCAGTGCATTATATTGACAACCTATATAGTTTTCAAAAAATATATGTACCTATTTCTTGTTGGTGATAGTGTGACTCCATATGTCTCGCTCTAACAAACGATATCTGATAGGAACAACAAGTGTGACCAATACTTATTAATAATATTGGATCGTATATTAAATTGAAGTATCGCACTGACTATACGAGCGTCAATAAAACTGTAGCGGATGTTTTTGTGTTGGATCCAATTAATTGATTCTCATTGGTCGGCGAGTGTTTCTTTTATCTAAGCTGTGCTATTTTTTCATTATAATCAATTTAAGATTTTAATTTACACTTTTACAACCATAAGAAATTAGTCGTTAGTACCTATAATATACTTTTATATATGTTAGGTAATATGGTAAGTTTATATGGGATTGATGAAGATGTGAAACCGATATAGTCAAATTTTATTTGTGAATTATATTGTATTTACTTACTATAAAGTAGGTAAATTCATACCTTAATAATGATCTTAAACGTATGAATTATTCATTTTTTGTGATAAGCATTTGTTTATTATTATATCTAATAAGTCACTCCACTTTATTTTAATGTACCTACTAACTACTGGTTTAATTTATGTGTATTTTTCTCGAGAAAGCTTATCTAATTTTTCGATTTGCAGAAAAAAATCTTTTTAAATTAATTAATAATTAAGTATTTTTTTCTATACATTTATTCAAAGTTTAATTCTACATGTAAATTTCTACTCGATTCCTTCTATTCGCATCGAATCTCGAGAAATCTCCTTACGATATATTATAATTTCATGTTTGTAGGCAATTTTAAGAAAATCCTGATTAATAAGCAAATGGTTTCTATTTTTTATATCATACAAGTTTAGATTAATATTGAATTAATAATTTCAATAAGTTTATATTAAGAAAGGTCATACTGAAGCTGGTTTTAGCTAACGAACAAATAATATAAAAAAATTTGGTCGTTCACACAACTCGACGCAAATATTATGTTTATTTGATGAGACAGTGATGTGTAGAGGTGACATAATCTATTACCTATAGAAGTCGTAGATAATTCGAT